TACAAATTGATTGCGTGGGCACTTAAACAAAAGTCGAATCGAATGTTGCGTTTCCTCCTCGTTTTGTTTCCCTCACAAACCCTACTGTCTACATAAAGTTGTTCATGTTACCATTGTTGCGCTTTTTCACAAAAGCCAAATACGCCTTTCCTGCCTTGCTACCGAGTTTGAGTTGGACGGTGTTGAGCTGCTTAATCAACGGAAGGTTCGCGAACTTTGGGGTCTCGAATAAAGCCGAAAATTGGCCAAGCTGGGGAGTCGTGATCGCCCTCTCTTCGCCCTTGCCACCCAGCTCAGTACTTCCTTTAAGATGGCGGTGGCCTTCATTTACGCGTTCGTAAGGCGATTGATTCACCAAGCTTGAAGTCTCGACGGTTTGATCAGCGCTTGCAATCGCGCTGTAACTTGCCAGCGCCAGGAGGAAAAAGTGAATTCCACGCATGATTGATTCTAAGTTGCACTTGTCCTGTTCGGGTCAAAATCGTGTGTGCGATGACTGTGGAATGTGTTCAAGGGCCACACTCTGCAGGTTTACTCCTCTATCGCCTGATCGTCTGAGCCATATGGAGTAGGATGAGTTTAAATAGGGTATAGTTACAAGTTGCTTGTGATTGCATCAAGATGTGGATATAATGTGTAAAGTCACCGTTCGACACAAACACACAAACTCCATTCAAACTCCACCAAGGATCAATCCTTTGAGTTTCCACATTTGAGAGAAATCGCCATAATTTAGAAAAGTACTCCGATTCACTAAAAAAAAACACCGTCTCTGAGTTATTAAGCTCATATCCAGACCTTGAAGCACCAAGTCACTTCGTGAACAAGGCCTTCGCGGCATTACATTGACGTTGGCATGGACCGAGGCCAGCCTAGAATTTATTCAGTAACAGGTACTTCACTGTAAAGTTAGTATTTTGAAGTAGCTGTTCGGTTGGTGTAGGAACTGAAGGCATCAGCTAGTAAACGGTCTCTAAATAAATCCCTGTTTGAGCGATACTAGGATTGAATACGCCGGAGGTTAATGGGTTACAGTGCTACCGAAAAGCGACCAGAAGTACTTAACAATGTGGTTTGCTTTTGACAGCCGGTGTCTAGTCAGCTGTAGCCTAAAAAAAGACAAGTACGAAGTACAACACACAACCAGCCTTATTAGTTATGGACATTGAAGAGACCATATAGATGACATAAACGGTCATTTGATTTTGATCTACTTAGAAACACGAACTGCACGTTGCTGCGTTTCAAACGATGCTTTGACCAATCAACCAAGTGCATATTTTCTAAACTGCACGTTGCTGCGTTACAAACGGCACAAACAATACTTTGAGCCACAAATCGAGGCTCAATTAATGGACATCTCTATATTTTATCTCGCCTGGCAGCTCAATTTGCTCTATTTGAGCAGTCGACCGAGATAGTGGTTAGATGCTTTACAGTAAACGTGATTATGTATGACCACCATACATGATTATGAGCACCATAATCATGTAAAAAACGTCGTTTGCTCGAGCTCGAGTCGCTGCCAGCGAGTCACTGTGTGTCCATATCCTTCTGCTCCTGGCGGTACAGACGCGCCAATTCATCTCTCAAGTGTCGTAGGTTACGCTGGGTCACCCAACCTGGGTGTGGGCCAGTCACTGGGAAAGCGCGGCTTTGCTGTGTCCCGAGTAGGCGGCATGATGAAGAGGAGGACAGACGAGGCTTTGTTTCTGGTCGTTGGAAGGGTCATTTGGGCCAAATTTTGGCGAGGAGCGGGACTGCTTGGGCGAGCGCGCACGGGGTGACTTGATATACTGTACTCTAATGTTCGTGCGTGGAGTTGCTTTTTAAATTCTGATAGGCGAGATTTATTGTCTTTTCGGGCGTTATGATATCGACATGACAGAAAGTTAGTGAATGCTCTTTTTAGAAACAGCGGAAAGTATTGCTTTTTTCTTACATAAAACAACATTTTTACGTCAAAATATCGTACTTAGTTGGATTTTAACTATTAAAAGTGCTCACATGTCAACTGCTTTAGTAAGACCATCTGTCCTTTTGTGAGCCAGCGTACGACGGACAACCTAGTTTTTCAAAAGAATTGATAATTGGTAAGACATCTAGGCTTAAGTATGAAATGGCCCAGAATGGATTAAGTGAGACCTGATTCGTAGGACGGTCGACTTACGCTTAAAGATCGCCTCCTATTGGAGACACTTTTTTGCACTCATTTTGCGACGCAAACATGGAAACCGTCAGACATAACCCCACTCCTCCACCTCGTTCCTGCTGCCGAATTACCCAGTACATGTACTAGTGTAGCGCCAACCCCTGTGCAAATTGCATAGTACCATTACCTTGCTAATATAAGTAAGAGCGATCTCCGTCCTAACCGTGTGTCCGCTGAATCCGTTGGACTCCTTCCGCCCTTTGGTCGCACCCTTTGCACGTTGAAGTTGGCTACGTGCCAACGTACACTCTTCCGAAAGGTCTTCGGTAGACCACGTCATCAACTTGTTACACCAGA